AAAATTTGAGGACTTATATGTCAGTGTGAGACGATTGTTTTAAGTCATCTGCATCATAGTTGTAATTGGCTCTTTGAGTAGCCATCTTTTGACGTTTAATCTTGTGTGCCCGTCCCTCTATTACATACAATATTCCACTGACATAAAGGGCAATAGTTCCTGCGACTGCTACTCCATAGCTCCATCCTATATCATTATGTTCCCAATGTGGCATCCATACTCTACTGTCTCCATCTATTCCAAATATTACCAGAGCAATAGTACCGCACACAGCTGAAAATTATATTTTTATCAAATTATTAGGCATGTTATAAATTATAAGAGTATAAGACAACATAACACTATGTTTTACCTGCAGCTATATAAAGTATTCCAGCTGTAAATAGAATTTGAACGTAACGTTCATAAGCTCTATTTAGATACATATAAAGTGTAGTGTAAAATAAACCAAATACTGTTAAGAGAACACAAGCTGAAAACCAAAATTGAGTAGCAACATAAAAACCTGTAAATAAAAATTTGTATTAATTTAAAATCTCACATAAAAGTACATTTTATTTATTATGGATGAAAATTAAAAAAAACTGAAGTTATAAACAAACCTTTGAATAAAACATCATAGATAATATAATATTCTTCTTCAAACACCCACCAACAACTATGGAATCTTGTGTCGTACCAATGACGAGGGTCCTCAAATTCTTTAAAACATACTACCCATAGACCTATAGATGAGAAAACAGTTAAACAAATTGTAATTAAATACAAATTAATAACTTAAATAAAAAAGTTATTAACTATTGATCATAGTTTCTATCAAGAATAACTTAACATTATTAACTTGAGAAACTTTAAACAATCATTATTCAACAATATTTTATTTAAATGCACTTTTATTAATACTAATAAAAAATGAACAAAACAAATTTGAATAGTATTATTTTAAAAATGCTTAATAAACTTGGAAACCTACTTATGGATTATTTTAAATAATATCATAACCATATTATCAATTGAAAAAATATGTTGAGATATTTTTTCTTTGTGAATCAGTTTTTTGTAAAATGCAAATTATTGTAATTAAGCATAGATAGTAGGTACTATTGTATTTTCTACGCATTTGAAACTTCCTCTATATATTTTGTCGTGTAAAATATCTCAAAAGTTCTAGTTTTTAACTGCAAAAACCAAGTGAATAAAAAGGACAGTGACCCCAATGGGTAGAAACCAGTCCGTCAGAATAGGGGACACAATACATAAAAAGCCATTATCCTATCAATTAAATTTCAAACAACCACATAATCACATAATTAAAGGCTTTTACTACTTATACCTATTTTAGAGAGCAGAAATTAAGTACCTACCGACTATTTTTGAAAAAATTATAAACAGATATTCGAGCGCATTTTTTAAGCCCCAACACAGATGGCGCGCATTTATCGACACTAGGTCTGGAAATCTTTCGTATTGCGACAGGGAAAAGTCTCTACTCGACGGGAGGGACCAAAGAAATGCGAATTACTATGAGAGAGCCCCTCATTTGGGCGTGACCGTGCGGGCGGACACCAGCCTGCGCGCGCTATACTAACCGATCCTTTCGAATTTCGGGTGCTCTAATTTTCCATCCGTCACCAACCAGCTCTTTGTCGTGAACGCCAACAGGACCAAAAACGCTCCCAAAACCGACAGGCCAACGGCCGTCAGACCGTTCCTGGACTTGGCCATAGAAATCACTGGTACATCAAAACACGGACTGAAGATTCAAGTTTTGAAAAAAGACAACAAAACTGGGAGTGTCCTCCAACTTGGACGGCGGCGGCGGTGACGGGGACGGGGCGACGGGCACAAACAACAACAGCGGTTATCACTTATCACTCACCGTAATCAACATGTGTTCAGGGTGGCAAACGTGAATCGCGCGTTTTTCCCGTTCTAACGATGGAAATCCGGTTTTCTTACCAAAGTTTCGCGCGTGTTTTTTTTTTTTAATTTATGCTAATGACATTTCGCGACGACATTCCGGGCAAGATAAACAAAAAAATAATGAAAAGACTCGTTTTTGGCTATTTCCGCGTTTGACACGACTAGAATTAAAAAATTTCGGAGACAAAGGATCGAAATTCTAAATAAACTACTCGCTCGTAAACGGCGGCGGCGTGCGCGTAAACAACCACAGACGACAGACACGTCGAGACACCGGCGCGCGAAAAACGACCACGCGATTACGACAACTAGGCGCAAGTCTACAGGTGGGGAGGCGGAGTACCCGAGTACCAGACTACCAGAGTACCCGACTGGCCGACTGCTATATTATACTGCCATAGTGGACGGACGGGTGTGATCGTTTTTTTTTCGGCCTTATAAAAAAACTAAAAACTGGTTGCGGAATGACGCTATTATAGTTATCTAGTAGTATAATAGTTAAATATTACAGTATTACACGAAAAACACGCACGGATCGATCGTCGAACGTTGATCGCAGGCGGTCGGTTTGCGGTAAGCGTGCCCGCTTGAAGGCCAAATGGAAATTAGGAAACCCACCGACGACAATAACAATTTGCATATTTAAGCCTATATCGCTATATGCGTACTATACAGTATATATAGCGTATATTATTATATATATTTATAGATTATAGAACGAGTCGAAGATTATATTTATGAATTATGATTATAAAATACTCGCTACCTATTATAATAATTAATATTCCTATACAATATATGATATAGGTTGTACAGGCGATGTCTTTATGGTATACAAAGCGATCCATTTAACTCATAAATGTCTACTCATAATTTTATCATAATATCTCATTGCAATACAAAATTGTTCTTTGTATAAATATATATTTTAGATTCTGGGTGGACCAACTGATATATACCGACATGATACCGATATATAATATATATTATATGAATTTTAAATGTAATATTTCGAAGTAGTATATTTTACCTACATAAAAATCAAATTCCAAACTAGTTATAAGTTATAAATATTTTAAGAATAAATGAGCGGAGATGTGGACCTAGTCCAGCATTTTGTGCCTTGTGGAATACTGTGTGTGGCTGTGGCGTTGTGCCACTCTACAGTCTACAACAATCAGGGTCATTGATCCGGACTGGCCAGTTTCTGGCCCATTATCCCAGATAAATAATACAGAGGCTATCCTGATCATAGGCGTAATTAGTTGGGAACTAGAGGGGGTTTAGCCACCAAAACTTTTATTTGCAGCCCAAATAATATAGTTGCAAATTAAAGAGAGTCATTTATGATTAATTCGTTATAGAAATTAGAAACTGGAAGTCTGGACTCTGGAACCATTTAACTATTAAAGTTTGATGACACCTCTGTCTCATATAAATATAATATTATAATCTTATTATATTTATGACCCCTTTATGTACCGATATCCCATAGGTAATACTCCTTTACGATATAATCCGATAATCGTACCACTTACAAGGCATACCGGCCCAAACCCAACCAAGGATAGCAAACCACTGTCTTCTAGGTCAGTAGACCACTGAGCCAGTCCGCCTCTAGACCAGAGGGATAGTTATGAATACTAATAATAAAATGGAAAAATTAAAATCAACAGTAATCGTAACTATATACTCGTAACTATGTACTGGTAACAGTGGTAACTAACGGACAGACGAAACGGAGGCGTTTTAAACGTACTGTAACCCAAACAATATTATGTTCTTTCTAAATCTAAAAGTAAAATTTAATAAATGAGAAAATTATTTTCAAAAATGTAAGACTTTTTCAAATAATGAGTGTGGAGTGTTGACGAGTGTTCACTTAAATGGATCACCTTGTATAATATTATGCGGGGTGTATTTATTATCGTCACAAACACGAATAAATTAAGATATATCTTAATTCGTGGTCACAAACTCACAACGACGACGAATAAAATTGTGAAATTATCGCAGTAGCGCCTGGCCGAAGGTCGTTTACATCGACACCAATTACTGAATTACTGCAAAATATTTACTTATCAATATATTGTTAATTGTTATTAACAATCACGTCCGGCGCGCAGTTCTACTGACATGGTCAAGCAATTAATTTTTTCGCATACCACGAGCGATTTTATCTTTTGATATTATGAAATTATCTTCGATGAACTCATTATAATGTGCTCAAATTTACTAATAATAAATTTACATTGTATAATAAGTATTTATGATTTAATCACGAGACATAAATGTACTGTAGCTGTGTGTGCTGTACTCTGTGCAGCTGTAGGGTACTGTACCGGTACACACATAGCCTACAGGCTACAGCCGAGATATAAATTTATACAACATTCAACATTGTTTTAAACACGGTCTTGTTTACAACTTACAAGACCGTGCCATTGCGGTCGTAACTTATAAAGCGAGCATAGGTAATGCCATGTTTCGACATTCGCCGTAATCAAAGGCGGTACCAGCCCGTATTATTATAATATCTATTACCACTATTACCCAGACTTTATACATAATATGATATTAAATTGTCTAGACCGCGATTAATGATTATAATCATGACAAAAAAATTTGATAACGATTAACGGGCCGGGACGAAAATACGAAAACGATATTATAGAGCAGCGCCCCGCCGCCCGACGGCCGACACGACGTTCCGACCGGACTGTTGCCTGTGGAGAAGTACTGCCGAGTGTAATAGTAGCTGTAATATTATAATAATAATATCGTAGTGGCGTACTGTCTGGCGAAAGTAAAAACGTTCAAACCTCCCGGCGGTGGTATCGTTGGGCGTGTGATTCTCGCGAGACGCGAATATAAATAGGACGAACGGAATAGCAAGTAGCGACAGATCGAAATAATTTTAATTACCAACACTGAGTCCAATCAATCGGTCTTCGAAGTGCCTGTAATCTTTTTTTCCACACAGAACCTATTTAGTATTTATACCCGTTGTATTTTATTTATTTCTATCGTTGTTCGTGTGTGTCCGAAGTGCGTCGCCGAAAATCAAAAATAATAACATGTCCAAGTATACGCCAGTGACTCATGTCATATTCGACATGGACGGTTTGCTTTTAGGCGAGTACTTAACTACCTGTATGTTAATTAATTGCGATTGCACGAGCGAATGTCAAAATAATTTTCGTGCATCTTCTCTTTGTCGTAGAAGGTACCATAGCATTGTACGAAGTAATAATGTTGTAAATTTCGTGTTTTAGACACGGAAAAGGTGTACTTGTCCAGCATTACCGAAGTCTTGAAAAATCACGGCAAGGACTACCCGAACGACTTGAGAGTCCGCGTTATGGGCACAATACCAATCAACACGGCTACAATCATAATAAAAGAACTGGAAATGGACATAGAACCAGTCGATCTTCTTGCCGAGTTCCACGAAAATCAGATTGTCAAAATGGAAAACGTTCCGTTTTTGCCAGGTTTGAATCTATTCTGTGTATGATTTGTTTTTTACCGATAGTATAGTGACTGTTTGCAGGAGCTGAAAGGTTAATCGATCATCTACACAACAACAATGTGCCAATAGCTGTGGCTACAAGTAGTGGAAAAGATACTTTCAAAGTAAAAACAGCAAACTATCAACACATCTTTTCAAAATTCCATCACATTGTACTTGGTAGTGCAGATTCAGAAGTAAAACAAGGAAAACCAGCTCCAGACATATTCCTGGTTTGTGCATCACGGTTTGACGATAAACCTCTACCACAAAATGTAAGCTATGCTTTGATGCTTTGATATTTTAATAGCACGTTCAGTTTTATAATACTAAAAAATATTTATATTGATAATTACAGTGTTTGGTATTTGAGGACGCCCCAAATGGAGTTACTGGTGCAAGGTCTGCTGGCATGCAAGCCGTTATGGTTCCAGATAAAATAATTCCTATAGAGAAGACTACTCATGCTACTCAAGTGATATCTTCATTGTTGGACTTTAAGCCTGAAGATTTTGGGCTACCTCCGTTTCCTTGACTCTCTAATTTTAACTACCCATAATATTCTTAACAACGGTTTAATACTATTATTTTTTATTAGTAAACAAAATAGAAATATTTATATTTATTATTTTATATAATATTGTGTATATTGTGTATTATTTTAAATTGATTATTTCAAATTGCTGACTTGTTTTTAGTGTTTGTATAAATCAGCTGTTTGTTAACAATCTAGTCTTATCTCTGTAGATTAACTGATATTAATAAATTATTTGATTATTTAATATTTTGCTTTGAGTAAATTTTTCTTACTTCTTCTAAGTTCTAATACTTTCATACAAAAATGAGTAAGTTAATTTATCGTATTAAGTATTAGGATTAAATATAATAACAGTTAAATACATTTCAGGATTACCTGTAGAAATTACTCAAACCCTTAAAAATGTTTGTCGTTCATTTAGTACGAAGAAATGTCATGCCGTGTCTCATGTCATTTTTGATATGGATGGTGTACTTCTAGGTATTGATCATCTTTATACTAAATTATATTGTTAAATAGTAAATTATGTATTGCTATTATGTAAATACAGACACTGAAAATATACACAAGCAATCTGTAACAGCAGTGGCTTCTAAATTTGGTAAAACCTACAACCTTGACTTACGATATAGGGTGTTAGGTGCACCTGAATTTGATGGAGCCAAGATGGTAGTTAATGAATTAAATTTGCCAATATCGATTGAAGAGTATATGATCATGGTTCGTGCATTTGAAAATAAAGTTTTATCTGATGTTGGTTTACTACCAGGTTGGTATAATGTATTTCCTATTCACCAAAAAATATCTTTAAAATATAAATTTTAACTTATATCTTAAAAATTGTTTATGTTAGTTTGACAACCAAAGTTAGTATCAACCTTTAATACTTTAGCATAATGTTTGTTTATTTAATTTTTATTTTTAATTTTTATTGTTATTGAACTTAAAATATTATTTTCAGGTGTAGATCGGCTTGTGCGTCACCTTCACAAAAACAAAGTACCATTTGCTATAGCGACTAGCAGTAGTAAAAAAAGTTTTGACTTGAAAACTTCTCAACATAAATCATTGTTTTCACTTTTTAACCATGTCGTCTGTGGAGGATGTGATCCAGAAGTAAAAAATGGAAAACCTGCACCAGATATATTTCTTACATGTGCCTCTAGATTTCCTGATCAGCCACATCCAAAAAAGGTACTTATACAGGGTGTTTCTGAAATGATTAAGATAACTAGTTTATGTGTACTCAATGTCAAATAATGCGTTAATTAATCATGTATTTTAAATAACAACAAATAACTATCACCACTGTTCATCTTGTAATGTTCTCATACAAATCGATGTGCTACACAATTTTTTTTTTTAATCTGCAATTCGAGCATGAAAAAACGCGCGACAAGTTCGAAAATGATATGACACCTCAAATAGTATGAGATTTTGCAAAAAAAACAACCTGACTATTTATTTTTACATTTAAGCTAATGTTCTAAAAACAATTTGTATAAACCCAGATTTTGAAGATACAAAAAAAATTTCAAAAAAAACTACATTGGGCCATCACATTGACTACGCATATATTAGTTACCTTATCCATTTCAGAAACACTCTGTATACTTATATGCTGTATATTTGTTAGTATACTCATTTTCATGAGATTATGGGACCGTTTTGCATTTGTCTAATTAGCTAAGGTTTGTTCAGCCATGAACAGTAGGGGATGATCGGTTGTAACTTGTTTTGTTCGGATAATAGTCTGTTTTCTTATGAAAATGAGTATAATTTAGTATCTTATTAATTTATTGGTTCTTTTTAAGTGTTTAGTATTTGAAGATTCTCCAAATGGGGTGAGAGGAGCTAAAGAAGCTGGTATGCAAGTAGTAATGGTACCAGATAATTTGTTATCAAAAGATTTATGTACTGAAGCAACTGTAGTATTAGGCAGTATAAAAGATTTTGTTCCAGAAGCATTTGGTTTGCCATCGTTTAATTGAATACCTTACTAATAAGTAATAATATATTTTACCTTTTAGTATATTTTTCCTAAAAAGCCCAATTTATTATTTTGGGTTTATTAAGTTTAGGTGTATAAAAATGTTTATTTTGTTAATATGTACCTATAGTACAGTTTGTTTAAATTATGTTTTAATATTGTATGAAAAAGTTATGAATTTCAATTGTCTTTTTTGAAATGATTTTATTTATACCCAGAACCACGATTTAAGACTATCTTATGCCTAACCTAACCTAACCTTATGCCCAGAACTGACATTGACCCAGCACTTCTGCTAATAAAGTGATAACTTTTATTCCTGGATTGCTAATTGATTTTTAATTTTTCTGAAATATCCTAATGGCTTTATTTTGTAAACTATTATTTTAATAGAACTTACTTTAAAAAAAGTAATTTTGTTACAATTGCGTTACTTTGTAAAATGTAATGAAATTACAGGTGCGTTATAGTAATTTGTAATTTGTGTTATGTTACTACCCAACACTGCAAATAGCTACCTATGTTCTTTAGCAAAAAGTTATTTTTTAGCTCTGTAATCAATACTTTGAATATATTACCCATATTGTATATAATTAAAAATATAAAGTGATTCATAAATTAATAAATTATATTGAACAGGTCTGTCAGACTTAACATGACAAATTGGGTTTCAAATAAATCATTATGTTTTCCTACTAATTAATAGGCATGTTTTTATTAATTAATGTATGTTGAATGTTGATATTTTGTATCCATTGGGCATCGACCATTATCACTATTTCTACGATTAATGTTGTTAATTGTAATTGAAATATTAAAAAAGGCACACGATAGCAGACCAAGGCATAACTCTTTGAATGATAATAAATCAAACTTAAATAAGCGATACCTAATGTATAATTATTAATTATTATATATATAATTATACTATAATATATTTAGGTAACTCAAATATATACATTGTGTTTTTGTGTTAATGACTATTAATGTGTGTATTTTATTTTATTATCATACAAAGGCTAAGATATTTTAATATATGAAATACAGGATAGAATTAATGTATAAGTATAAATGTTGCTTTAACTATAAGTACCTACACAATTTATTTAATAGGGATATGACTAAAATTGAAGGTAAGGCTAAATTCAACACCAGCCTCGACCTCCAAGTGCCAACCATCTAGCATTTAAGAGAGCGTCTAACATTGCCCTTTGGCCTGATAAGTGTTATACTTAACTGGTGGTGGAATTACCAGTACCAACTACCTAGTATGTCTATATACCTATCCAACCTAAAAGTTATATTATGATTAATTATAAATACAATTAACAAATAACTACAAGTTGGTTCCCAATTATCTACAGGTAACATACGAATTGGTTAGTTACCAATAAATAATAATTATGATTAGTATTTATCTACCTAGACTTATCCGAAAAATTATAATTTGAAATTGTAGCAATAGTCGTAAAATATTTACCAAATTAGTATTAGTGTATCTATTTTAAGGGAGCTAGGCTGATCACTCAGTATTATGTTCTAGATCTTACAGCTTCTACTACTTTGAACAATATTTCAGGAGTATGTACCCAGTGGCGGCGCCAGGAATTTTATCTTGGGAGGGCCCATTGGTGGCCTTTGAAAATTTGGTAGGGCCAAAAAAGTCCCAATTCGTTGTCTTTTTCCCATTCATAGGCTCAGTATAGGGTAGGGGGCTTACACACTATCTATTGTAAAGACTGTGTTGCACATACTAAGTTTTCATATAATTATTGGTTTTCATTTTTATTGATAATAAATATCATATAGGTATAGGTATATTATTTAATATTTACACACTTAAACATTAGATAACATTTTCAAATTTTCAACAAACTTACATAAACAATGAGTAGGTAGGTAGGTACTTTATTATAATATAGGTAATACACAAATTACATTTGTTTTTATGTTAAAACATTTATATTTAAATAAAAAAATTACACAATTTTTATTTGCCTTAGCATTTAGCAATTTACTAAATATTACAAAATCTAGTTACAACGTTACAAGCAAACATAGTAAATAGTCAAAAACATAATTATATTAAATGGTATACATATAATTGATATCTACTAATTGTTAGAAATGATGAATATAAAATGAATTCACACATTTAAACACTAAAATTTGTATAAAACAGAAATATATTATTATTATATAATAAATTATTAAGTTAAAAATTATACAACGTTTAAGATGATATCCTATACGAGTACGTAAGTATAATGATAATCTTTGTTGTTTAACTACGCTTCTTTTAAATTGTATTATTATTGGGTTTTTCCCGTTTTTCATATTCGACATGGTATAGATAACATTAAACCGATTAAACTGTATTATGCACTGTAAAATTGTAAAATGTAAACGTAAAACGTAGACAAAAATAATAATATTCATTGTCAATAAAATATTAAATCGTTGACAAATGACATTATGTCACAGATAGGCACGGCTCGCGGATATAATATTATATAGCCGTGCATACGGGCATCATACGGTCTTATAATAATAATAATTTATAACCACAATTATTCGATATTTCGATTTATAATCTGTTCTTTTAAATAATTTTTTTTCTCTTGTGGTTAGGGGGGCCAAGACAAATTTAGAGGGGGCCGTGGCCCGCCCAGGCCCCCCTGGCGCCGCCACTGTATGTACCTAATGTACAACATATTTTTTTGAAAAATTTGCATGTGGCAACTTAACAAATTACCAAAGTTAGAAACACGAAAGATTACATCTTGAAAAAATTAGAAATAGTCATAAAATTAATGTGGAAATACTTATATATTTCTTTATAAAGTTAGCATAAATTCATAATGTTGGTTTATTTAATTTTAATTTTTAATTATTTAATGTTCGCAGCTGATTTATATTTTTAACACAAGTATAAGGTAAGTACCTATGCACTAAAAATTAAACTAATGTATTGTTTGTTTACCTATTAATTTAACTTTTTAATTTTATATTAAAGTATATTAAGCTAGTTCAATATTATTATAGGCACCTTTTCGTCCTATAGAAGTATTGTATATCTACAAAGATTACCTAATATAATATATTCAAATAAATACTTAAAAAAGGGTAGAAAAATGAAAATTGATACCTAACCGCTCTGCTGTATTTTTGTCAAAATCAATGCATTTGAAAACGTCATTACGTGTGAAATGTATATAAAATATATTAATTTATTTAGGTAGGTACATTCATTAAAAGTTTGAAGTAGCCAAGTAGGTACTCACGAATAATCGTTATTCAAATTTAAATAATATACTTAACCCTAGAGCACACGCTTCACGGTCAAAAAGACCGGGATTTTAGAATTTTGTTCATTGTTTCAAAAATATAAAATATTAACCTAATCCAACTTAAGTAACTTCTAATTAGGTGATAAACTAAAATTAGATACAACTCCCAAATGTATACGATCTGATGTCAGTAATATAGAAGTGTTCAAAGTTCATTACCAGGCATTACGTATTAATATACGGTCAAAAAGACCGTGTGCGTGATCGTAAAAAATCAAGTATGGGTTATTTTTAAACTGTGTTTCTAACAATTGCTGCTCGATAAACAAAATTGATTGTTTATTATGTTTTCATTGTGACTGGTTAGTTGACCATGGTTTGCGCCATACAGTGTGTGACTAAAAAGACCGTGTGCGTGTATTCTCGTGAATATTGTAAATGCGTGCGATCTAGGGTTAATGGCAGTCCTGTAAAGAATACTTTTGAAAAGTACTTAAGTAAGTACTCAAATACATTTTTTTTTAAGTATTTAAGATACTACTCAAATACTTTAATTGTATAGTATTTCAAATACTACTCAAATACTTTGAAAAAGTATTTGGAATACTTTTCAAAAACTTTTGGTTTTTAAAGTGGGTTTCTAATTATTGTAATATAGACACATAGGTAGTAAATTTATAATCATTTTTATTTATTATTTATTAAATAAATGTTTATTACATTTTTTTTTTATTTTGACATGAAATTTACAATCTGTTCTTAACTAGAACAATAAGCAAATGTGCATAGGTTATTTGCGTATGATTTTTTTTTTGAGGGAAGAAACCACCCATTGGTGATACTACCTATTTTGTGTTCTTAATTCATTCTAAAATTTCTAAAATTATTTCGAATAAAAATAAAATGTTCGAAATAAAAAACCAAAGTATTCAATACCAAAAAGTATTTAAAACAAAAAAAAGTATTTAAAATACCATTCAAAATACTTCATGCTGAAAGTATTTAAAAAGTTATTCAATACTTAAAAAAGTATTTGAATACTTTTACTCAAATACTTTACAGGACTGCTTAATGGCTAGTATATTTCCTTCCAAATTTTAACTTGAAATGTTTGGAAAAAACATTGTATAAATATTTTTTTTAAATGTACTACAAAATGAATTACTTACATATGAGGAACTTTATATTACATTTTCAAGCTTTAGGTAAAAAAATTGAACTCTAAATAAATTATTAATGTAAAGACTCGTGAATTTAACGAATTTCGTAAAAACCTTGAGTGTGTTGTAACTTTATTTTTTGTTTTTAAATGGCAATAATAATATAGATATTTAAAATGTATAGAAAAAAAATCTAAAAATAAAAAATATCTATAAATAAATCAAAAGTTATCAGTATAATATTTTGAAAATTATATCATCATGTATTTAAAATATTAATATAAACATTTGGTGAAAATTGAAAGCATCTATGCCCTATGGATATAATCGTTTATAAGTTACAAGATTTTGTGAAGAACTGGTTTTGCGTATAAATTACGGGTTTTCCAGTTTCCTTATTACTTTTCCAGACAGTTTTGAAAAATAGTAAATACTGAGCATTTTACCAAAGTGCCAACTAAATTCAATATTTTACTAGTACGACCCGCCAAAAGTTAATAATCTAAGCAATTTTTCTACTAGAAAGTGTAAAAAAAATAATAATCCAAATA